TTCTTTCTGGAACCGGATCAAGAACTCTCGCAACAGTTCAGTTTCTCCTTGGGATATTATGAATATATCCACCTTCCTTGCCTTGAACTTTCGTGCTCCAGCATGAGCTTTGATAAACGAATTTGCAAGTATTTCAAAAGAGTCACTGGAATGTTCGGATAAGAGAGAATACCAAGTTAAGGCACCCTTTGTCAGGGTTTCACCAAACTTCTTCAATAAAACAGATTTGATCTCATGCTCGGCCAAGTCGTTTCCCTTTACTGTTGTAGTGTAAATCGTGATGTATTCCTTTGGATCCGAAGTTCTATCATATTTTGGTATATCCAGTATCTTAAACCTCTTTGGGATCAACTATGGAGCCACACTTGGTTTAAACGGCAGCTGCATATACTTCTTGGAATCTGGTCCCTTTAACACCAGTGGTGCTCCCGGGATGTGATCCATCCGAGCATGAAATTCCTTTGAATTCCAATCCATTCATTCATTCATTTCTCTCATGAATCTCACGAGCTCGGTTTTGAAAGGGTCATTTAAGTTGTGGTTCTCATATCTATTGTCGGTACCTCTTGCCTCGTCGAAATCGATCACCTCCCTTGGAGTGTTGTTATCGGCTTTTTGAATTGTTTGATTTGCGAGAACGCTGGGAGGAATTGGAGCCCTTCCATTCGCATTATTAGAAGCACTGAATAATGCCTGCTTCAATTCTGCCATCACCGGATCTTGTCTTGAGAGGTGATCCCCAATCGCATTTTGTTGTTCTCTCAAGATTTTGACCGTTTCAACAATGCGTTCATCATCCGCATCATCAGGAGTTGCCCCCTCACATGTTGAGGATACTAGCTTTCGCGAACCGGGGTTGCTTCATCTCCTTTGTTGCGAGTTTCGCTGGTTGAATCATCATGTTGGAACACATCTTCCCGTTTATTGTGTGCTCCAACATTATAGACATTCTTGACATTATTAGCTGCCATACCTGATTTATTTTTATAAGGAAGGAATCAAAATTTGTTAGTAACAGATGAATGGATCAAAGCAAATTACACAATTATCTAGGCCCCATAGTGGGCGTCAAGTATTTATCTGTAAAACGGTACAATTGAATTTATAGAATGGTTTATAGACAAGCGAATCGATTTGACCCAAAAATAGTAAGTAACTAAGAACAAAAATAAGATTATGAAATAAAATTAAAGAAAATACAAGCCTGGCTATGAACTTAGCCTCTCCGGCGGCAAAAGTATGAACAATATTCCAGAATAAAGACTGAGAATAGTGTTATAAAATGAGAGCAGAATGTAGCTTCTGTATACATAATGTTTTCGTGTCTATAATGGATGTTAATCTTCCTATTTATAGCTCTATTTAGAGAGACAAGATCCCCAAATCAAGCTCCTCTTGAATGAGAATAAAACCGTCATTGATACTTGCATAATGGTTGGCTATAAATGCATCTCTATAACGGCTACTTATTGAATGATATCCGATGACAATATTTTAAATCTTTGTTACCGGCTACTTTATCTTCGGGATTCATTCAGCGCCGATCGCATACTTGCATCCGGTGCGAGTTGTTTGCTGACTCATGTCCCACTTGTCATTAGTTACACGTGTCACTTTGTCACTCGCCCAACTATCACTAACCAGTTTTTCCCCATACAATACATATACGAAGGGGCGAGTCTGTTGCCTTTAATAAACTAATTCAACCAAAACCGACAGTGCTATCACTGCTGTTAAACTTTAGTCATGAAAACTACAGAATAATCGAATGTGGCTTATCACCTACATCTTCTATGTTTTATTTAGTGTTAAGCCACGTCGTCTTAAATCAGAATTGCTACGAGCTATATTTCCACATATTGAAGTACCAATTAAAGATTACTACCATTTTGAAGGAAGCATAAGGATTCCAGAAATTATGTTTTCTTAACTACCTAAGGATTGTCTAATACCATCAATTTTTTACAGTTAAAGAGGTGATAGAATGGATATTGCTCTTTTAGAGTTTTAAACTTAAAATCATAAAATAATAAAATAAATTATGACTCTTGTGCAAAACAATCCATCATGCATTGATATGTACCACCCTTCAAAAATAAATACATGTTTATCTTATCAATTATTTGGAGTGAGATAAGTAAATAGATTAATTTTTACCTTTTTTTTTTTGAAATCTGAACTCCTTACTAATGATAAGTAGCGAGTATCCATACAAAATTTAAGCCTTCAAAGGCAAATGCAAACAGCTTTTATTAGAGAAATCTTAACGTCATTCCTTCTGTCTTAAACATAATTACAAGGAAGTAGCGCAAGTCACAATGCGAGAACCGACAATAAATTTTGAGTATAAAACTTATTACAATTATTTTTTGGAGTATTGGAGAGCACCATAAACTAAGTGATAGAAAATTAAGGTTCAATATGTTTACCCGTAAAACGGTATAGTGGAATTTATGACGTGGTTTATAGACAAACGAATCGATACAATCCCAAAATAATAAATAAATTAAATAAAATGCAAGACTTAGCGTTAAAATCGAGATAAGACAACAAACAGCTTGGTTCCGGGAGCAAGGCTTCCGAAGACAGCAATAAGAATATCAATAGACAGAAAATAGAGTATTATTGAGCTTAGAATAATGTGTAGCATAAGTTTGTCAGAGATATATTGTCCTACAATGGTTGTTGAAGTCACTATTTATAGCTACACCAAGAGAACAAGGTCCTAGGATCAAGCCCCTCGTAAATGACAATTATGAGGGCCATTGATGAATATGTAATCACACGCTATGAATGCCAAAATTCTCTATAACAAATTGTGTATTTAATACTGAAGAATATTCTTCATTGAATGTCATCGGGTGACAAACATTCGTTTGTCTTCGTTAGCAATATTCCCTTCGCGGTCTGCTTGGTACCAACCGAAGTTGCTGTCCTCGGTCTTGGTTTTCACTTGACTCACTTTCCGTCTGTCTCCGGTTCCACGTGTCGCTCTATTATTCGAGTATTTAATACAAACTGATTTTACCCTATACAGATAGTCCCCCTGCTTTCCGGTGGCACATCATTGTGTAATTGGGAAGTTGGTGAAGATACCTTTCTTGGTGGAAAATTTTCTGATCCTTTCTAAAACGTTTCTGACGCTTGATTAGACGCACGTCTCTCCGCATTTAATGCCCTGAATATGCGTCACTCCATGATTTAGCAATACTTTTGCCGGTTGTCGAAGTAATCATGGCCACTATTTTAGCCGCCTATTCCTTTACTTATACGCCTTATTCTTCTTCTTTTATACCTCACAATTTTTCAAATTCTCTCAACTTCTTTGCATTCAATGTTTTTTTGGATTGACTCTTCTGTAATCTTCTTCTTCAAAGAACTCTTATTACCTTTTGCTAACCATGGCTTCCTGCTCCAAGAACTCAAGTTCTCTAAAAGAACAAAGAATGCACCGATGTTGCTGCCTCTCCTACGGTGAGCACAATCATTCCCAGAAGACTCAGCACATCCAAAGACTTCGAAGAGAAGTTTCCTTCTACAAGCTCTCGTACATGGGTTGTTGGCGTGTAACCTTCTTCCATCCGTCCTTCTAGCATTCCTGTTGTGAAGGAGGATTGTGGTTTCCATGACCTAAACATCATCGCTCCCGAACAGGTGGAGCGAGTAACCTTCCCTAAGAAGGTTTTTACGTACGTTTATACGTACCCCTTCACTTTGGGCCCATTCCCATTGAGCGGGAGACTTGACCCCGTGATCTTGGAATTCTCCCACCGGTATCAAGTCTTCTTGGCACAAGTAGGCCCCTCTATGTGGCGGGCAGTAGCCTATTTACGGCGGCTATACCAGGGGACGGGGGAAGAGCTCAACTTGGGTCACATGATGAACCTCTACTCCTTCAAGATTTTCCGTGGGGGAGTAATAAACTTTAGCAAACGTGGCCACCGTGTTTTGCTAACCAGTATGGATGGCGACAATGACCGTGGATGGATGGAGCGGTTCAGTGTTGTTGCCACCAGAGAAATCATCCCAGCCATAACTCCATCTTTTCCCGAGTCATGGACTCGTACACGTAAGTTCAACATTTGTCTTTTATTTGAAAAAAGGTTGTTTCATGATGCTACTGATCCTTCTCTTTCATTATTTCAGAAACTCGGTGGACACCACCAAGGTTGAAGGCTTGGACCATGGGTTCAAAAGATTCTGGACATTACCACGCCTGAGAGCCGCCGGTGGAAAGAACTGGCCCCAAAAATACGGATGGAAGGCCAAAAATCACGGTAAGTTGACTCGTAAGATTGATCTTGCCCTCATCTTATTTTGTGTTGTATAAGAAAATTGGTTAACTTTTTTTCCGTTGAATTCAGGTTTTCCGCAGGGCTCTGTTACCGTCCTCGATGAGGACGTTTTGGCTTATCCCGTAGAGGCTATGAGGTTGTTGAAGGAGGCCTTCACCCGAACAGGCGCCATCAGATCAGCTTCCGGTGCAATTGCTTCCTCACAGAGTCCCCGACTGAAGAACAAGCAACCAAAAAAGCGGCACTCCTTCCTGATCGAGGGAAAAAATAAAAAGATGAAGAACGTCGCGCCCGAGACAGCCGCAACCACTATGGTGATTGATGATGATGGGGAAGCCAGTAATGAAGGGGCTTCCTTACAGAGGAGACAACGACCTTCATCAGCTCAACGCTTAACTTGTGCACGACCACATCTAGCAGAATACCTGTCATATCCACATGCGGCCATGCAAAACAATCAAGATTAATTTTAAGAAATTCTATAAATCCTGACCTGAGCTCGGGGTTTAATCATGTCCCTAAGAGAAACTTCCTCTCTAAGAACTTCTCGAACAATGTGACTTGTTCGATTTCTTCCGTTGTGGATTTGGTTGCGTCCCTTTCTTGCGGTATCTGGAAATACCTTGGTACCTGATAGGATTCTGACAGCTCCTTCCCTTTATTGACTCCATTTGGATCGGGAGCAGGCGTCGGTTCCTATAATTGCTATGCTACATGTTCCTTCCCTTTACTGCTGGAAACCGAGATCACGTTTATCTCCCTTGTCGTCGGTTCATCTCCCATTATTTGTTTGATTCCCTCTGGAGTTGGGAATTTCAGAAGTTGATGGTATGTTGACGGCACAACCTTCATCTCATGTAGCCATGGTTTTCCAAGAATAATGTTGTATCCTGTGTCGCCGTCTGCTACTTCAAACATGGTCGTCTTCATCATCCCTTTGGCATTTGTGGGCAAAAGGATCTTCCCTCGGGTTGTCACACTTGCTAAGTTAAACCAGGTGAGGAGCTTTGTGGCCGGAATGATGCTTTCAGTTAGCTTGGCTTGCTCCAGCACTCTCCATTGAATAATATTGGTTGAACTTCCTAGGTCCACCAAAACACGTTTAATTTTAAAATCCAAAATATTTAGAGAAATTACCAGGGTATCATTGTGCGGTAGTAGGAGTCCATCAGCGACCTCCTCCATGAAGGTGATATCGTCCTCGGCGACTTCCCGAAGTCTTTTGCTATGAGTCACTGATACCTTTGTCTGTTTTGCTGCTAAAAAGGTTATACCATTAATCTTGTTCACCCCAAAAATCATGTTGATCATTAGTCGAGGAGGATCTTCTCTTGTTTTCGAGGGTTCAGCGTTAGATGGTAGTAATTTTTAGCCGGACGCTTGAGAACTCTCTGAGATGGCCATTTTTCAGCAACGTCGCCACCTCCTCGCGCAAAATTTAGTAGTCCCAAGCCTGGTGGTCTTTAGTCCCATGATACTCACACCATAGATTAGGATCTCTCTGACTGGGATCGAATCTCATCGGCCTCGGTAATCATGCTTACTTAATGTTCCTCATCGCCGATACCAGCTCCATCACGCTGACATTGAAATTATACTCTGATGGTCTGGGGTAGGTGGGATCTCGGGAGCCTGATATCTCTTTGTCCTGCAATGAACTGTTTTTATGGCCATAGTCAACTCTCCTATCGATAGCGAACTTATCCGCCGATCGAAAACCTCTGTCATGTCCTTCAGCCCTTTCACAGGGCAAAACACGACCTTAGAAAATTGTCGATCTGTGTCAAAATCATCCTTGGACTTATCCTTACTCTTTTCTCGATCCCGATCCTTGGTTGATGCCGGGAAGCGGAGCTGGTCGTCCTCTATTCTTATCTTTGATTTGTAGCAATTATGGACATCTACCCATGCATTCGCCTGAAGCTCAAGAAAGATTTTTTTCAGTTTCCGGGAAACATCGAAGCTCCTCGGGTTCATCCCTTTAGTAAATGCCTCAGCTGCCCATTCATCTGGGACGGCCAGTAGTAGCATCCTTTCCTTCTGAAATATGGTCAAGAACTCTGGCAGCAATTCAGACTCTCCTTGCATAATTCTGAATATGCCGGCCTTTTGGACATGTACCTTCCTAGTCTCGGCATGGGCCTTGATTAAAGAATCCGCGAGTATCTCAAAGGAATCGATTGAGTGCTCGGGTAAAATTGAATACCATGTCAGGGCCCCCTCCGTGAGTGTTTTCCCGAACTTCTTCAGTAAGACTGTCTCAATCTCGTGCTGAGCTAAGTCATTTCTTTTCACTATCATTGTGTAGGTGGTGATGTTCTCGTGAGGATATGAAGTCCCATAATATTTTGGTATGTCTGGCGTTTGATCTTGTCCAAATCACACCTAAAAATAAGGATATGAAACGGTCGATTGCAATAATAGTAACCCAACAAAGAGTTGGGATCGAATCCACGGGGAGTATATATGGGAGTTAGGAGTATATATTCTAGTACGTGAGTTTGAACTATCTTAATTTACACTTCCACAAATTGGTTTTGTTTCTATTTCTATTTTTAAAACTAAGATTGCAAAGTTAAGAAATAAAACTAAGATAATTGTTTTTGTTGTTTTTCAAATTTGTAAAAAAACCTAGGGTTATAACCATCGCCTAGGTGTTCGCCTAATGGGATATAAACCTTAATGCTTGTTTTGTTGATCGGGGTGTATTATAGCTATCAACTATCAATTAACGACTCAGTACCTCTCGGTCAAGGAGTAGTTTTGCCCAATTTAGCTTTCTCGAGTCCAAATGGGTATCACACAAAATGGTTGATAAGAGCTCAAGTCGGGTTATTACTATCTCTAGGTTGAACCCTTTAATTAGGTTGACCAATCTCTCGATTGACCCAATTTCTTGTTAGCCAAGTTTTCCTGGAGTAAGTCTCTCTTTCTCAAGTAGAGACTAAGTCAAATAGGCATGAACTAATGTTTGCAATCATTAATTCCACAAATTAAAGCATGAACAAGGCTAAATAATAAACACCCAATCATAAAAAAATACTAAATTAGATACCCATAAGGTTTACACACTAGGGTTGGGTCACAATCCTAGTAAAAATCTAGCTACTCATGCTTGAAATTGAAGAAATAGAAGAAGAAATACTAATTAAACTCATATTGGAAAGTCAAAATGATATAATCTATGTTAAAATATCCCAAAATATAGAAAACTACTAAAAGAAGCAAAGAAAAACGACTACAGGACTTGCTGATGTCAAAATGTTAACCTAATTTTGTGAAACTTGTCTATTTATACAAGGCTGGAAATTTTGGACAAAAATGCCATCCGGGAGGTTCTACGGTCGCACAATTCCATGTGCGTTCCGCAAAAGTCTTCATCTTTGCAGGAGGTGGGATTCTGCTGCCGCACAATTCTCCATTGCGGCTGCGAGGCTTTGTTTCTGCCGCCGCAATCTGGTCTTCTGCGGTCCGTATCATTACTTCTGCAGCCGCAAAATTCTTGTGCGGTCCGCATTCTTGAGGGACTTGGACTTTGAAAATTTGCACACCCTGTGAAGTTCATCTCCAATTCTTCATTTGCGGCTGCACAATTCCTGTGCGGTCCGTAGTTTGCTAGGAAACCCTGTTGGGATTTGCTTCATTGTTTGCGGCCGCAGATGGAATTCTGCGGTCCGCACTTTGCAAGCTATTGTGCCTTTTGTTGCCTTGTGTTTGATTACTCCTTTTTGAGTTGGATTTCATCTCGGGAGTCTGACTTCCAGCACTCCTGCAAATTTTGTACATTTCATCAGTTTCGGGAACACAATTAAACGACTTTAGACTAAACAAAAGCTAAAAGGCACTAATAAATAGTCAAAATCCCCACTTATCAACTCCCCCAAACATAAGTTTTTGCTTGTCCTCAAGCAAATAAAATAGTTCCCACCTTCACAAGTTAAGGGCAATTCCAGCCAATAAAAAGTGAGTCATTCACACATCAATTGGGACCAACAATTACCCACACTATTTATGTATTATCAACAAGGCAACCAGTTAAACGTTTATGCATATGTAGTTCAAATGTGACATTGAGCATCAAGAGTTGACTTTATTCATCAAGGAAGCTCGCTCTTTTATATAGGTCATTGTGTATCCCAAACTCCTCCTCCTCTACTCTCTATTTGCCTAGTTCACTTAAGAATTTTAGCACTCAATCCAAAGATTTGTGAAAGGTTCACTCATCTCTCTCAAGAGAATGTCGCAAGTACGACTTCAAGTACCATAGGCTTGCCCCTCATGTAGATCGCCACTAATGTAAGCTCACCTGGCTTAAAATCATGTAGGGATGTTTCGGATGTAATGAAGGCCTTTGGACTAAGGTTGGATACACTATGGTTGAGTGGGTTCACCTTTCCTTAAGCACTCCATTTTTTTATTCTCGTCTCATGCTTTGCCAATTCCTTGAAGCACTTTCTTTTCTTTGGGAAACTAGAGAGACTTAACATCACTCTTTCTTGATCATGACATTCATTTTATCCCTCTTTGATTTCTCCAGGCTTTGTATCATTACTTTTCTTTGAATCCCTTCAACTTTTCCACTTATTCACTTTCTTTTTTGTATTTGTTTTCTTTTCGTTCTTTCCTTTTCTTGCCTTTCCTTCTCATCATTTCTTTTCTCTTTTTGTGCCTTGATACCTCTTTCAAGTTTCTCGTCTCTCCCCCAAACTTACGTTTTTAGCCAATTATTTTACAAGAGTGTTAAGGAAAGCTCGGGTGCCAAGAGAGAGTCACGACAAAGCGGGTATAGGCTTGTAACATGGTTATCAAATGAGAAAGGCTCGAGGCTCAAATGGGTTGACTAGGGATAACAACATTGGTCGGCAATGGAAAAATATAAGCTGGTTAAGGAAAGCCTACAGTCACTTCTCAAGCCAAGTAAAACATAAAATTTTGCCTTGAAACACATTCGCGACAAGTTCTAGACCATTCGCACAGGTGCTTGGACTAGCAACAAAAACCCTCACCCCTCACACAACTGGATTATTAAAGAGGATAGAGTCGAGAGCCCACAATGACCATATTCAAGATTGAAAATCACTATGGCTCGATTAAACCACTCGAGGATTACCTAAGTCAACACAAGAGTCACAAAATCACTAACTAGAGCTATTTCTTTGCAAAAACCTTGTTTTTAACCATAAGCATGTAGTTAAGTGTGTTTGTGCCAAGTGAAGTATGTTTGACTCTTCGAGTATGACTAAATTAAGTCTTTTTATTTATTACTACTACTATTATTACCTAAACACTAAAAATGGGCTCAGTCCCTTAAGAAGATTGTCACGCCATCCATCTTTGGGAAGAGTCACCTGGTTCATACAACAACTACCTTTGGAAAGAACCGTGGCATTAAGAAAACCAAAGGCTTATTATCCACTAAAACATAAAAAGAAGCTACTAAATCGAAAAGAGGCTACTAAATCGAAAAGAAGCTACTAATTCAAAAAGAAGTTACTGAATAGATAAGAACCTACTAAATTAAACACTAACTAGTAAGAGAACCAAACATAAAGAAGCTGCAAACAAAAACTGTTGAAAGTAATACGAATATACATAATGAGAGAATGGAAAAGAGAATATATACAGAATAAGGAAAAAGAAGAGAATATTGTCAGCTATTACATACCAATTATCTCAGAATCATAAAATCATATCAAATAAACTCCACACTCCACCCCCCCCCCAAATAAGAATAAGCATTATCCCCAATGCTTAATAAAATAAGAGTAAAGGAAGGGTAAGAGTGAAGAAAACTCCATATGACTCCCTGGCCATCTCTTTGCCCACAGCAGCATCACCACCCTCAGTCTTCTCTAACTGGATCTTATCGTCCTCAACTCTGGAGTGACTAGGTTGGTGAACATCTGACGCACTGCCTCAATAGTGTCAGCAGCAGAGTCTGGCTACTCAGACTGGCCAACTAGTGTTGTAGGTGTTGTGGGATCTGGGCCTGGATGGTGTGGGTCAATCAGCATATGAAATGGAAAATTTCCAACTTCCACAAGCTTGGTAACCTATCTCTGGAGCTTGTCCACTGACTTCTTGGATTCCTGGAACTTTCTCATATTTTTCACTTCCTTGCCCAGTTCTTCTATCACTGACCCATGCTACACCAATGTAGCCATAATCGTGGTCTGGTTCTCCAAGAGATTCTTCAATGTGTCTTTCACTGTTGGGGGCATCTGAGGTGCCGGAATGGAGGATTCTGCTGCAACAGTACCGGATATGTCAAATAGCTTTGAAGTAGTTGTCTACATCCAGTT